ACAGAAGAAAATCCGCAGGCACAACTCAGACATAAAAAGAGGTTTGACCAAAGAACCACCAATGCAAAGACTTACTCTGTGAGAGACTATGTCTCTGTTTTTTGCAGAATAATTCCCCCCAAGAAAAAAGCTGCTGAAGGAGTGATGAGCTCATTTTTAGATCACAAAGGTGCACAAAGACGGCAGCTTGCTAATGATTGAGCAAAAGATGTGCTGCTCGGTACGAGATACAGAAGCTTCGCATTGCTTCAACGGATAACTGTTGCATTCCAGCAGATATGCACAAAAATGATGATTCAATGATAGATCCTGCTTGTGACTTGAATGGAAGGGGAATGCTGACAGGAGCGACGCAAACTTTGTGATAAATGATTTTAAACTACCTTTGGGTCTAGAACTGAATGAAAAAACAGGATTCAACAAGAGAAAAATTCCATAGGTTGAAGAGGATTTGGTTGAAATTGAACTGTAAGAGGTTACCAATGAGTTGAAACTAGATTTTTCTGCTCGAAAAGACTAGAGAAATCAAAACAGAGCAGAAGGCGGACTATTTGTTTGATCAAGCATAGACAAGTTTTTCGATCATACAGCGACCAATTTTTTCGATTAGCGCGACTAACTCGTCGACCACCGCGAATATTTTTTGAACTTACATCGAGTAATTGTTGACCGCCGCGACTGCTTTTTCGACCACGATGTGACTAGATTTCGGACCACCGCGACAAGTTTTTTTTACCATGTCGCGACTAACTCGCCCGCCGTGACCAATTGTTCAACGAACGCGACTAATTTTTCTCGCATTTGTTGCTAGTTTTTACCGCCGCGACTAATTATTCGACTATGCCGCGACTAACACTTCGACCAACGCGACTAAGTTTTGGACAGTACTGCGACTAAATTTTCAACGAAAGCGAAAAACTATCGACCGCCGCGACCTGATGCGACTAATTTGTCGACCCCCGCGTTAATTGTTCGACCATGCCGCGACTAAATATTCGACCATGCCGCGACTAATTTTTCGACCACCGCGACTTTTTTTCAACCTGATGCGACTAATTATTCGATCATGCCGCGACTAACTTTTGGACAATGCCGCCACAAAGTTTTTGACGAACGCGAATAACTTTTTTGACCGCCGCGACTTATTTTTTGATCCTGATGCGACTAATTTTTCGACCGCCGCAATTAACTTTTCGACCATGCCGCGACTAATTTTTCGACCACCGCGACTTTTTTTTTCAACCTGATGCGACTAATTTTTCGACCACCGCGACTAATTTTTGATCATTATGACTATGGATTTCCGGTCGCGGAAATAGCAATTCCGCGACCGACAAAGTCGAACAGCTTGTCGCGGACCTCTAATTGGAAACTACAGTATCCATCTGCTCAAATTAAAACAAATTGCCGTCCTTTTTACTCATCTATACAACTCTTTTGGATTGATGCAATGTCTATGCGAAGTTTTTTGGTTGCGCAGTTTCTTCCAAAATTTTTTGGCTGATCAATCCATCATGCGAGTTTGTGCAATTCATGTTGCAACTTTGCGTCCGTAACTCATGTTAGGACTTTTATCGCCCATTTTAGCTATGATGCGACTTGGAGCGACTCAAATATCGGGCGGAGTACGGAATTTCGGTCGCGGGTTTACACTTTCATACACGTAACTCTGAAAAATGCTGATAGTTTCGAAAAACCTGATAAACGTTCAACCATGGACTATCATCGAAACCGTTGACGAATTTATGAGCAAAAACATCGCCACAATCCTGATGAGGCAGGAAGAAGTCCAACTGAACTGTAACAGAACGTGAACCTCAACGAAAAGAAAGCGTTGATGCTACAAGACACTAAATTAAAACACTAAAACAAAACAATGTAAAACAGTCAATTCGCGCAAATAAAAGCCAGTTTAAATTAACTAATGTTTTCAGCGGTGTCGCTCCCAGATTTGCCAAATTTTTCAACTATTTTTTGCCAGTTAAACGTTGAGCTTGTATATTTATAGGTTCAAGATCCTATATATTTATCGTTGCCCTTAAAATCAGGGAAAAAGTCTTTAAGAAGAAAGAGCCTTGATTTTTTGGTACCTGTCGAAAAAAATATGTAGCGCAAAATTTCGTTGGTGAGCAGATGTCGAGATGTGAAATTCATAGATAGAGCTAGTTAAATTTCAATCTATCGCGTCTCTCGCGCATTTTCAATGTATCGCCGCTATCGCCACTACAGGTTTGCGGGTCGAGGTTTGCGATTTTTCGACCGAGGCGGGTCAAACACATGTAAGAGTTCGACGAAAATCCATAGTCAAGAAGACCCCGTAGTCGAACTCAAAGTCAAAACATAAAGTCGAAAACAGTCGAAACATAAAGTCGAGCACAAAGTTGAACCATAAATTTGAACACAAAGTCGAACACAAAGTTGACACATAGAGACGAACACAAGGTCGAAACATAAAGTCGAACACGATTTTAGAGCACAGCCAAACTCAAAGTCGAAACATAAAGTCGAATACAAACAAAACTTTACCCAGAATTTGATTTTAATGTCGGATTTTTTTGCTTGAAAAACTGTAAAACTTTTGAAATTAGCAAAATAATCCAGTATATGTGTATTTTTAAAGTGAAGGTAGCTAGAACAGAATTTTTGCTGATCATATACAGGACCGCCACGAGAAGGCCTGCAAATGGTTCAAAAAATTATAAGCTATTTTATTGGGGCAACGGCAAAATTGTCACCACAAAAACAGAGAGCTATAAAACAACCAAATGAAACATTCATTCAACAACAAAAGGAAAGTCGGATTTTTTTAATGTCGGATTTTTTTGCTTGAAAAACTGTAAAACTTTTGAAATTAGCAAAATAATCCAGTATATGTGTATTTTTAAAGTGAAGGTAGCTAGAACAGAATTTTTGCTGATCATATACAGGACCGCCACGAGAAGGCCTGCAAATGGTTCAAAAAATTATAAGCTATTTTATTGGGGCAACGGCAAAATTGTCACCACAAAAACAGAGAGCTATAAAACAACCAAATGAAACATTCATTCAACAACAAAAGGAAAGTCTTCAACATCTTATAGCAATTAAGCAAATAAGCAACGTTAGTACTTATCTTTGAGATAAAAATAGAAAATAGAAACCGAAGAAATATCAAAATAAATCGGCAAAACTTTTTATTGACACACTGAACACAGTCTCTATTTGCGAAATGGGAGCTATATAAATCATTTTGATTTTTATTAAAACCTTAATCTCAAAAAATCTATATATTTCACCACCAAAACTCGGAACGAAACTTTAAACCAGATGTTCCTTGACTAAGAGCCCAGCAAAGCCTTTTGATCTTATCGGATCAATCAAAGACATTCATCTGGCTCTCAACCATCTGGACTTTATATAGTTTTGGTCTACATTGGTTTTTTTGAAAATGATCAGAAAAACTCTGAAAATGAAGTTCAGAACTTTGAACAAACCCAATTATTACGGTCTCTGTTTGTGAAATGAGAGCTATAAAAATCATATTGAGCTTTATAAAAACCATTTTCTCAAAAAAATCTCGAAGTTCATTTCGGTCGAAAAAACTCTGTGGTCGAATTCGGTTGAAACGTTTTTCCTTTGTCGAACTGTCGAAATGCTTTTCCTCGGTCGAAAACAGTCGAAACATAGACAGCCTGGTCGAGTGGGTCGAAACATAAATCGCAAACCTCGCCCTTTTAGAACCAAATTCCCGTTACGTTATGTCTTTCAAAGTTCCAAATCAAAATCTTATTTCAGTGCTCGTAAATGATTCATATCATGGCTGATTCAAAAATGTGTCACTCAAGCAGGCTCAGAGGTACATCATAGAATTTTAAGACAGAATTCAAGAAACTTCTAAATGTTTCATTCAAAATTTTTTTTTCTCCCAAAGATTAAGCCTAAAATTCTACAGAATCAAAATCTCAAATTGGATTTGACTATTTTGATTTGTAATCGTTAAAAGTACGTGAAAAAATTGGGGAATTCGACAGCTTGTTCGAATCCTTGCTTCCTCTAAACGTGTACTCTCGTCACTTAAAGCTGTATTCACAGAATGATGGGATGAGAGTGTTTGGAGAAGACAAGAGGAACCAGTTCTCCAAAATAAAACTATTAAGAGCAATTCGCACCACTCACAAAAACTACGGTTGCGCACAATTTTAAACGGCTCGATGATAAAAAAAAAACTTCGTGGACTATGTTTTTGTATATTACCGAGTCATAAGTACCACTTCAGCATACATATGTGAGCTGCAGTTGCACTACTCATCACTCGGGACGAGGTACAAAACAAATAATCAAGGACAGTTTTTCTTTCTAAATGAACCTAATTTTTTCCTATGAACTTTTTTATATGAAAAACAGTTTGTAAGAACATTTATGCAGTTCGGCGATTGCTGGATGAAAAAGAATAAGGCATCAGTTATATTGTTATATGCTGTTTTTATATTTAATACTTTTTGAATGAGAAAGTATCAGTATAGATACCTGTCTTCAGGAAGTTCATACCATCACCACTACTATATTCTGACATCCATTTTCGTCAATCAACCCTGAAATGAAGGCTTTCTACAGGCAACTTTAGTTCCAGCATTTTATAAGTTTGAGGCGTGCGACCGTCAAAAAAAAACAATTTTTTAGCAAAACCGGCATCCCAAAAAGATCCTTGAAATTTTTACCTACTTTCGTTTTTTGGCCTTTAATGAAAAAATCAAAAAGTATTTTTGCTCGACCTTGAAAAGATAAAAATGATTTTAAAAAAAGTTTCATCGTTTATAATTAGCAAAACGTTCTCCGCGCAACTTACTTTTCTGTGCTCAACGCGTATAGGCAATAAATTAACCTGCGTTTTAAATAATCATTTATTGAATCATTCAAGTTGGTCCAAATATATCGTTGTTAAGACTAAGCTTATATCTTTACTTTTTGATGTTATGTGATGTGCGGATTTTCGATCGAGCTGGTTTTCATGCTGAGCAGTCAAAAAAACTGCAATCTGTGCTCGACTATATACACACAAGTTAAGAATTTGTACAACACCAGAAGCTAGTGACAGCGAAAAAAAAACGTTCAACTTTTCATTAGACAGTTTTTTATGCAGTTACTGTAAGTTCTACATATTCAACTGTTTTTATTCAAATCACTTTAAAAACCATTCCAACATCTTGTTTATGCATTTGAAATAGTTTCACATTCAATCTATAAAATATATCAGTTATTGCTTCTATTCGATTTAATAGCAGCTTTGTTTTTGCTGGTACACTTCAGTGGCCCAGTATTAGTAGTCGATCATGTTAATTACAATCAAAGACATTGAAGATGCACACGCACGTATAAGAGAGTACCTTCACGAAACACCAGTACTTACTAGCAGTTCCTTCGAAAAAGAATTCACGCCGGGAAAAAGGGTTCATTTTAAGTGCGAAAACTTCCAGAAAACAGGTAGTTTCAAGGCCAGAGGAGCGCTCAACTCTGTTATCAAACTCCACGCAGAGCAACCGAATCTCAGCAGCAAAGGCGTTTTGACCAGAAGCAGCGGAAACTTCGGTGCCGGCTTAGGTTAATTGTGATATAACAATTACAGGATCAAGTTAACATCCCCCCCCCCCACCACCCCCTAATAGACCACCAAGTTGAGATCCTCCACCCCAGCGCTTAAATTTGCTGAGCGCTGCATGTAAAATGCTCGATTCTGATTGGCTGAAAATTCCCAACTTAGAACCAAGTTAACATCCTCCCCCCTAAACGTGTTTAGGGGGGAGGATGTTAACTTGGTCCCAATTACTTATCAGGGAGCGTCATTTAAACTGCCAAAAGTTTGTTACAGAGTGATTTTTCAACTTGACATCACTTACGAAGAAACTTTTCTGTTAGAGTTTGAAGCCTACAGCATCTTGAGACAAGGCCCAATAAACTTATATGACCCATCAATTTTCTATTGATTTGATAGCCATAACCTGACTTTATACGCGCCTTTTTAATCGCATTTTGGCTGTTAGAAGCTGACTTCTATTATATACCCTTTGTTTTTGATATGAAAAATGTTGTGTCTTTTTTTGGCCGACCAATTTACTTGCAAGCCAAAAACTTTTAATGTTTCGAAAGAGCGTTTTTGATATAACCTTTAGGCATAAGTTAACAAATAGTTGTACTTTATTGGCGCGCACTCCTCTAAAGGCTATTTAGAAAATTGAGTTTGGCGAACTTTATGAGGTGGTGGATATCTTGCTAAAATCTAATAAATCTTGCCTTCTTGAAAAACACCAAAATCAGAAACCGAAGATCATTAAATAAATTTAGGGTTACTTTAGCGTATGCTGCTTCTTTGGTGGGGTTGGACTGTCATGTAGCTTGTCCCGTGTCGTGTTCACCATTTAAGATGGGCTCCATCGAAAAATACGGCGGAAAAATTCATTTATACCCGAAAGGTTGGGAATCCAGAAACTCCATCATCCCCCGACTAGAAGCAGAACTTGGAGCGTACACTATTTTTGCGTCAGTGGAGCCAGCGAGTGTATCTGGACACGGAACTGTAGCTCTTGAAATCCTCAACCAGGTGCCGGATGTCGACGCAGTGATCGTGCCCAGTGGTTCCGGAGGATTATTGGCGTGAGTTGTCCATTATGCTATAGAAAATTTTTTTTAAAAAAATGAGTTTATTTGATATCTTAAACGACCTAGGATTTTAAAATAGCAGTCGATCTCAAGAAGTGGAAAAAGAATAAAGTGAATGCAAAGCAAAATGGCAAAAAAATCTTTCAAAAGTTTCTGATACAAAAGACAATTCTGACTTTGAATTCATTTCTGATATTTGACATGCAGAGCTTAAACAGTGTGTGTAAATAATCGAACACCAGGGACGCTCATATGCAACGAGTATCCACGAAAAGCCTAACAAATGGTAAAGTGATTCAAAGGTAATTTGATCAGAAACAAATGATCCATTAAAAATTTTAAACTTTGAAATCGACTTTCTAATGTTTTTTTCACCCCTCGCTAAATTTCAATTTTTCTGGTGGAAGTAGGAAAGTGAGACATCGTTTTTTTTGTGATGGTAGAAGTCTTACTCGTTATAATCGTTCTATGTTTCGAAAATGCAAGTAATTTTTTTGCTCAACTCCTTTCTTCAAAAACAGTTGGACTGAACTGGTAACTTTACAATTGATGACAATTTACACTGCTGAAAAATGCTTTTCTAAGTTTTGCACAAAAAAAAATTGTGTCTAGTGTATGTTTCTTTTGAAAACAACTGTTCGTCAAAAAAAATTTTTTGGAAATTTAGATTACATTTAGTTGCTGCCCTGTAAACATCTCCATATGAAGTTACTGTTTTTGCATATTGCATAAAAGGCATAATGAAAGGATTGTGAAATTGTTCTTGCACAAAAAATAGCGTTTAATTTTGCCAAATAATGGCGATTTAGGTCAGTATCACACGTAATTTTCAGATTATCATCAATTTTTATCCTAAATATTAGTTGACAACAATGCATTTTTTGAAGCAAAGAAGATGGTGTCTTTAGCAAATATGGTTATTTCATTAGATAGAGATCATTTTGAAAAACATAAAAAGCAGTGGACCTAAAACACACCCTTGAAGCAACCCACTTGAGGAGATGGACTGCCCGGTTATTGACTGTAAAACTATCTACTTAAAGCTAAAATTTTACCGCAAAAATGATGCGCTAGTTTTTTTTTTACAAAAGTTTCTGTTTTTTAAACGTTTTTTAAACGTTTAAACTCAAAAAAAGCTGCGAGCCAAATATTTTTTCTTGTCGTCACATAGCTTCAGAATCGGTTCTTTTTCGGATCAATTGGCATGCAAGCACGAGTACTGCGATTCGAATGAAAAAGCTTAGAATCATTAGAAAACTTCGAAAAACGCTTGACTTGAAATAGAGTCTATTTTATCTCCACCCAGCAACTCAACTCTGCAGAGCTCTGGAAAAATGCCAACAAGTATGCAGCAACTGTCAACATCATTTAAAAATATAAATAAAGCAGTCACGGTTAATCTATTTCTCTTTACTTGATATCCCATTGTTTTTAAACTTGGGGAAACGCTTGAAATTTTTTTTCCTCCAAAATGTGACAAATTGTTTTCAACAATTTTTTTAGACAATTGTTATTCAATCGAATTTTCAGAGAGTTATCCATAAAGTCAATACTCTCTACAACTTAGAGAATTTTAAACCTAAAATTTTTGTAAAGTTTCATCAAATGGGTTGATAAAAGTTTAATGCTACATAAATTGCTAAAAGTCCTGCAAAATCACGATTTATGTTTCCTGCGAAAAGTAAAAGTCGTACGGATTTTTATGATGGGTCGCGCAATTTCGAATTTTTTTTTTGGCTCAGCAAAATAACGACTTGATTCTTTTGGGTCGCACAAAGTGGCTACTTAACTTTTTTGGGTCGAGCAAACTTGCGCCGAAGTTTTTGTGTTGCGATTTTTGGCTTGCTAATGTTGGGTCGCGATTGCCGCGTTTCAAATTGCGTACCTAGGCCCGATTTTTACTTTGTTTTGCTCTAAAAATTTGACAATGTTTTAGAGGTATATCAACAGCAATGAAGAACAAAAACAACAAAATCAAAGTCTATGGCGTAGAACACGACACTTCTCTCAACCTGAAGAACTCTTTTCAACTCGGAGAAGCGATACAGCCGACGGAGCGTCGCGATACCATTTGCGACGGAATCAGCAATACTTCAGTCACTCCGTTCGCCCTTGAACATATACTAGAGTATGTTGACGACATCATTCAAGTGCCAGACACTGGCGCGATTTCAGCTCTAGTGTTCCTGCTAGAGAGTATGAAAATAATGACTGAACCAACGGCTGCTCTGGCGGCTGCGGCCTTAATGCAGCCAGAGATTGTCAAAAAATACTTCTCAGAATGTCAAAACATTGTGGTAGTTTTAACCGGTGGAAATTTTGACATTCTGAAAAAATTGCATTTATTGGGGGAAACACAAACAAAAATAAGTGCTTGAACCTAAATATTAAATCAATCATAAATAGAAAGAACTTTATATTTTCATAACTCATTTGCCAAATAATTTACAAATCAAACTGATAAAACGAGTAAAATGGTTTTTATTAGGAGGATCTAACATCAAGGGGAATGAAAGGACTAATAAGAGGTGTTCAGCTTTTCAAGGAGCACCGCCGTTGTGTACCTGGTTAAGATTAGCATGCATTTTTTTTGGTTATTTTTCCGGGCTAGCTAATGTTGCGCCTCTTTTACTTTAAGATCATTTATCCACGGGGGAAAGGACCAACACAAGAGCTGTACAGCTCATCACGGCGAACCGCTGTTGTGCCCCTGTTTTAAGAACTACATGCAATTATTTTTTTTTTGGTTATTTTTCTGGGCTGGGTAATGTTGCTTCACCCTCAAGCAACGAGCACGGATCATGGTGGGCCTCGAACATCCGACCTTTCGATTGAGAGGCGGAGACGTAACCACTTCACCACCGCTCCCTATATAATTACGGGGGGCGATATTTATATTTATATGTGATGAACCGCGTGTAAGTTTATGAAAAGTTATCAACCCTTAGCCATACTTAACCTTGTAAAACTTTTAGTTAAACTGTATACCTGTATATTAAATTGTATTTGTTGTGAAGCGGTGGCCAGGCAAAAGAATGATTTGAAGCGCTCTTTTCTAAGAACCGGCAGCTTTGCTAAAACCAACCATCTGTATTGAATGGGAGAAGGGATGGGGAACTGCTTTTTAAAACTTTATGGCATTAAAAAAATTGTCTTCATTAGAGCCTTTACTTAACTCTGGGCCTTTAATAAATATGAGAACAACAAGCAGGGGCGGATCTAAGATTTTCTCGAAGGGGGCGAATTTTCAAAAAAATTTCAAAAATATTGTCGACCTTTTTTTAAGCCGACCAATTTTGATTTTCCGAGCTCTCCCAAAGTACTAAAAAGACCGTGGTTTGGCCAAAAAAAGCGTTTTTAGGCACTTTTTGGAAAATTTTGACAAAAAATCCGCGTTTTTTCGGCGAGCGCTCCCCCCTCAAAAAAAGTATATATTGGCGCCAAAGGCGCTTTTAGAAAAATTTTTGGGTACGTCAGCCAAAAATTGATATCTCAAAATAGTTAAAGGGGGGATCCTTTGGGTCGGCAGGGGGTCAAATCCCTGAGAAAAGGCGTCCATGACTGAAGCATTGCGTCAACTCTGTACGAGTGACGGTTCTTTAATGTTACAGTCAAATCATGACAGAACCATGCATGAATTTAGGTTATCTAGCCATCTACATTGGTTTTCAAGAATAACTGAACTTTTGCTAGGAATTTTTCTGGTGCGGCTGGATTAGGGTACGATAGCCCTGCGGCACTTAGTTTGAGCAATAAAGTTTTGTCAAGAGAAATATCTGTCAAAGTTTTGCATTTAGCAACAACCATTTCGGGAAACCATAAGCTTTACGAGATTCTTCCTAAGTTATTACATCAAAGCTCTTCTGCGGTATGGAGGATATAAAGTATGTATTGTTAGATCTGGTCTACTTAAGGAAGTTATGCTTTGACTACAAATAATTGTTCCGACTTTCGATACGAAAGTAACGGAATATTTGTGCTCGAGGTGAGTTTTTTTTTCTTCAGACAAATTTCGACTTTTTAACTAGCCATTTTTGACGGAATTTTTTTTATATCCTTTAAAAGGTATTGTTGTCTTGAGCTCAAATTTGAAAAGATATTTCACCTGTGATCATTTTTCGTGAAGTTATGAGGGTTTAAAGATTGCCGTTTTGACCAATTTGGGACAATTAACGAGCGATATAATTCGCGCTATTAACGCGTAAGCGGAGATTTAATCCGTCCCATAAATCGTTCCAAATTTGTTGAACGAAGCTTATTTGCCATAATTGATTGGTTACAAGGTGCTTAATCTATCTTTTTGTACTTTAAATGGCGTGTGGGGGATGATTTTCATTTAAAAAAATCAAAATTAAAAAAAAAATGTTTTTAAATTATATTACATTTAATTTTTTAATGTTATTACTTCTCCATAAAACCTTAAAAGGCAGTCAGAACATTCAGGGCTTCGCCCTGATACGAGCAGTCTTGATTCATTTCAATTTCTCTTATTCTTTCCTTCTTGGTCAAACCACGACATATCTTTTGAAAATCTAAGACTATAAATTTTAAGACCGCACTTTTTTAAATTGAGATTGAATATCGATAGAATATGATCGAAAATTAATGGAACTACGCTGATTTGTCGATGGAAAATCGCTGATTTCTCGCATTTATCACTGAGAAAAAATGTCTATAACAGCGCTGATTCATCATTGTTACATCAAGGTGGTTGAAAAAGTAACAAAACTTTTTGTATCAGGGCAAAGCCTCTAAAGTCTCTACCCCCTCATGATCTCCTAAAGCCCCAAAAGGTCATAACAATATGTGATTTTAATGATAAGTTTAAACAAAGCCCTGAATATTCCGACTGCCTTTTAAGATCTATGGAGCAGTAATAGCATGAAAAAACTCAATGTAATAAAAATAACACGAAGATTTTTTTTAATTGAGATTTTTTGTGAAAAACATCCCCGCACACGCCATAAGTACAAGTGATGAATTTCGCTCCTAGTGACCAATCAGTTATAGCAAATAAGCTTCCATCAGCCAATTTGGAACGATTTTTAAGACGGATTAAATCTCCGCGTTAATAGCGCGAAATATATCGCGCGTTAATTGTCCTAAATTGGCCAAAATTGCAATCTTTAAAATCCCATAATTTCACAAAAAATGATCACAGGTGAAAAATCTTTTAAAGTTTAAGCTTAAAACAACAAGACATTTTGAATGATATAAAAATCTCAATAAAAATGGCTAGTTAAAAAGTCGAAAATTGTCTGAAGAAAAAACCCACCCAGAGCACAAATATTCCGTTACTTTCGTTACGAAAGTCGGAACAAAAATTGACTTTGTTTTCCAACTTAGTTTTTTTCAAAAGCACTATCTAAAAGCTAGTTTAAGTACAAATTGTTGTTTTTAGCCGTCTTATTTAAGTCAGCGAAAAAGACAAGAAAAAACAATAATTTTAGAGAAACCAAATATCAAAATTTGAAAACTTTAGTCGCGTAAAAATATCAAGATTAGCTTGCCTCAGTTCATTTTGAAACGATTCTGTAGTGCGGAAAAGTATTGCTACGCAAAATTACTTTGCTCTAAGTTTCCAGATTGAAGACAAACGTTTGAAAGCGCGCATATATTGTTCCAGAAAAAGGCCGAGTCGATCATTTCAAACCTCCCAAATTTAAATTAATTGGGGTCAACTATTTTTTTTTCAATTTGAAATTAGGGAGTCAACATTTTCAATGGAGTATTTTTTTTCTATTGCCTAAAATTGACCGTATAAGGAAATCAGCGCTAACTTGAAAATTCCTGAATTATCCATTAAGGTTGGAGTCAGAACAGAAATGTGAATTGCCATAAGTTTCGCAAGCGTTTTTGTACAAATAAAAATAATCACTAAAATTTGGCTCGCAACTATACTGCAATGACAAAGCATCCCTTTAATGCTGTTGCAGTCTTTCCAATAAAAAATTAAATGCACTGTCCAGGGAGTTTCAATAAACATCAAAGGTCAACTACGAACAAAAATGGTCCGCAAAAGAAGGAACAAAAAAATGGAATAAATGTTTGCTAACTTGGTAGACACAGAGAAAAAATTTATTGACAAGATATGAATTTAATGCTGATGATATCGAATTTCAGAAATAAAAATTAGTCAGACCAATAAACTTGCCTCAATTCCATTTGGAACAATTTGTAGTGTGGGATAATTCGCGACGTGTAAAAGATATGTGCGTTGGAGTTTCAGTATCAATCTTTCGACAAAGATTTCAGGTACATTGATATGAGCAGGGGCGGATTTAGGGGGGGGTGGGGGGGCGGACGCCCCCTTCAGGGATTCGAACCCCTGCCAACCCAAAGGGTCCCCCCTTTGGTACTTTTTAAGAAATCCATTTTTGGCCGACTGACCCTAAAATTTTTCTAAAGGCGCCTTTGGCGCCAATATATACTAGTTTTGAGGGGGGGCGCGCGCCAAAAAATTGCGTTTTTTTTTGTCAAAATTTTCCAAAAAGTGCCCAAAAACGGCTTTTTTGACCTGTTTTTTCAAAAAATTGCCTGCGGCGCAGAAAATTTGGCCAAAACAGGGTCTTTTTACTGCTTTGGGAGAGCTCGGAAAATCAATCTGATCGACCTAAAAAAAAAAAAAAGTAGTCAAAATTTTCGAAAATTTTTTGAAAATCCGCCCCCCCCCCTCGAGAAAATCCTAGATCCGCCCCTGGATATGAGGTTAATATAATGCTGTTCGAACTCGACGGGGCCCACGAAGACCCAAAGATCGATCTCTCGTCAGTTTATTTTAAAAATTGGTTTGAATAATAAATCAGCCCAAACATATATAGTTCACACTTTTGTCGAAAAGCAATTTAATTGTTTCATACTTTGCTTGAACACTACATAATTGCTTTTTTCATTTAACTTGTTTGCGCGCAGGTACAGGTATCCCGAAAAAGTTGGTCGATGAAAAACTGAAGATGGTTTATTAAAACAGCTAAGTTTGGAGAACTCATCAGTAGGCATACAGCTATACCAGTTAAATTTAGACTTTTGAGTTGAGGCTCTTATTACTGATAAATTCTCGTGAAGTCTGAAGTTGTTGAAGGACTTGGATAGATAATTTACTAGACTCGATTTTGAAAAAGAAAATTTAGTTAGGACAAGTTCAATTTATTGATAGTTTTAGTAAATTGTGATATAGTGTTTAGTTCTCTTTTTCAAAACTTTTCCCCCCATCTCGAAAACAACCCGTCCTAAGTTTGGAATTACGGTTCAATCGAGAAAAAAGCAGAAGCGGCTGAGCCTTATGTTAAAAAAAACCTAGATATGACCCTAGAAGACAATTTTTTAACATTTAATCGTTTTACGGAATTGTTTCACTTTTATCAAAACTACCGTACCAAATATGGGTTTCAGGGTTCAGTCCTGA